CCTGTCCCTCTGGGGACCGGTGCACACGGGGACACTGGCAGGGCGGGCAAGGCAGGGCTCAGCTCTGTTTCCTTTCCAGGTGCCAGTCTCCCCTGCTGCTCGAGCACCAGGGCTCCGGGCCTCTGGAATGTGAAGGGGCCAGGGAGCGGGAAGACACCCTGGAAGGAAGCAGACACCTGGGTAAGAAGGACCTCGCCCCTCCCTCCTGCCCCACCTCCCATCGCTCATTTACTCCTCCACTCACTCGGCGCGTGTCTGCCGAGCGCCTTTGAGCCACCCACCTGGGTGGGCCCTGGACCTCCCAGCATCACTGGGGACGTGGTCACACTGGCTGTGGTTTCAGTGCCTGGGAATTGGAGTGTTAACTTCATGGTGGTGGTTCTGCCTGCTCTTGGGACATACCTGTTGTTAAGACCAAAAGGTCCTGGAACCACAGTCCTGTTCGCTTTCACCCAACCCTCCTTTGGTTTCCTGCATTTCTTTGCTCTTTTGTTAACACTCAGAGTGAGATACTCAAGTCTCCTCTCTTTGTGTGGCAGAAACCAAGTGGCATGGCCCATCCTCCAAAGTCCTGAGTTCCTATAAAGAAAGAGCCCTGCAGAAAGACGGAGGCTGCAAAGACTCCCCCAATAAGCTTTCTCATGTAAGTCCTTTCACCAAAAACAAATGCTCATTCAGCCGTTCTGACCAGTTTATTAGCGCTGTTGCCAGGGCTTCTCAGGGGTGTGTCATTTAAAGCACAAGGCTCTTGGGTGAAGTAAAAAATAACTGAACAAAAAGTTAAGTATTTTTTTCTCCTTGATTTGTAAAGAACCTCAAAGAAAGGTCCTACAGTAGATTACTTGGCACAGGCAAGATTGTAGCCTCAGCCTTCGATCCTTGATGTTTTTAATCTGTTAACTATTATCCACCTGTGAACATAACACAGCAGCGGAAACTGAGAAGTGGGGTGTGTGGTCAGAGATACCCCGCCTGGAACTGGCCACTCCATGTGCAGCTGCAGACGATGCCTGATTAGTAACAGCCACGGCCGATACTAACACACAGCAGGATCCACACGACACCCAAGTGGTTTGATTCACATTTCGCGAAAACCCTACAGGGTGAGCCAGCCGCGTGGGTGATGGTAGCTCAGTGAAACTTACTTTCTGGTTAAATGTGAAAACGGGAATTGCAGTTGTTGGCCAGTAAAGCCAACATTATAAAGTAGCTTGTTTTTCAGAATTTGCAGGCGTTTTATAAGCTCCTGACCCGAGTTGTTCCTCTCCTCCTCCGCGTGTGGCCGGCGAGCTTTACAGCTGAGCGTTCCAGGCGAACACGTGTGGCGTCCCTCTCTTCACCGTGTCCCGACCCCGCCGGCCTCATGTCACTAATTGATTCCACTTGCACAGGGAGGCTGGGGGTGGGAGTGAACTTGAGCAGATGGATGTGTGATCCAAAGGGCAGGGGGGCTTGCTTAGGGATCCAGTAAGATGGAAGGAAGGAAGGAAAGGCCAAACCACTGGAAAACAGATCAGGGCTGGACCGGCTCTCACGACGTCACAGCCCTTTACTGATGGTTCAGGTCTTGTTAGTCTCCCCAGGCTGAGCAGAGGGGCCGTGTCTATGCAGGCACATCAGACACGGACTTTTGCCCCGTTCTCTCGGCTCTGTCTCCCAGGGACATCAGAGCCGTCCCGTTTACTCTCAAGAGCGCCCCCTCTCATCAGCCCCGGGGCTGCACTGACTTGGGCTCTTGGAGAGACGGCTCGTGCATACACTGTGCTTTGTGGCTGCAGTGTCCTTCTGTACATAATAGCTCATTGGGTCCACACGTTAATCACTGGGCTCCATGTCATAAGCACAGAGCGGGGCTGAGTGACTGACCAAAGTCCCACCACTGTGATCCCAACCCGAGTCTCTGCCCCAAACCCAGGACTGACACTGTCATTCATCATAGGAGCATTTTCTGGACAAAAGGCTGCCCTCCCTTTTCTGTTAATTTCCCACATGCTTTCCCAGCTTCTGTAACCTCCATTAATTGCTTCCTGGTTGGTGACACCGTGGCAGGAGTTTTGTGCATCACGTACAGAGAGTTGAGCAAAGACTTAAAAAGATACCCCTTTAACTTGAATTGTGGGAGGAATCATGATTCAGGGACTCTTACATAAAACCAAGCTTTTTTTAAATGTGTTCCAAGTTTTTTGTTTTATTTTACGTTTTTTTTTTTTTTTTTTTTTGGTGGAGGAGGTAATTAGGTTTATTCATTTATTCTTGTAGAAGGGACTGGGGATTGAACCCAGGACCTCAGACACGCCAAACATGTGCTCTACCACTTGAGCTATACCCTCCCCCTAAAACCAGGATTTTTTTTTAAGTAAATGCTTGCATTGCCTTACATGGAAGTGTGAGTAGAAAGGGTTTGGGTGAAGTCCTCTGGTTTATAACTTTGTGAGTCTGGGTGACAATCAGCACCTTCATACGGAAGCAAAGTACGGGGTCTGTTTGAAGCCTTCCCGTTTCTCCTTCTCCAGATTGGAGATAAGAGCTGCTCCAGCCACTCCAGCAGCAACACGCTCTCCAGTAACACCTCCAGCAACAGCGATGACAAGCACTTTGGGTCTGGGGACCTGATGGACCCCGAGTTGCTGGGGCTGACCTACATCAAGGGGGCCTCCACGGACAGCGGCATTGACACGGCCCCGTGCGTGCCCGCCGCCGTCCTCGGCCCCCTGCACCTGGCGGGCGGCAGGGCCCTGGTCCACGGCCGGGCAGAGCAGTGGGCTGAC